ATAAAGTCGAGTGCCCTTAATGTTCCAAAACAGTAATTAACTGAATGGGAAAGGAGGAGAAAAACGGGTCATTTGCTATCAATGTTAAGCTTCATGTAATAATGTGCAGTTTTACTTTATTTCCCAAACATGCTCTGAAAGTTTCTTTTTGCTGCAAAACTGTTGAAGTAGAGCTTTTGGGCTATTTAGACATCAATATAACATCGTATTCTTAATTCTTATTTTTATTTCTTTAATAGATCATGTTCCAATATCTCAATGTGTTCCAAAAGACAGCATACAGCTTGTTGAAAAATACAAAATATTAACACATTAAATGACATGTCTTATTTGTGTTAAAACTTGTGTTGCAAATCTCAAAACAAGCTTCATGAGGCTGTCAGAGGCAACTTCTTGGGCTGTCGGTATGATTTCTCTTTATGTTAACTCTCCAGGAAAATTTTTGTACTGACACTGGAACCTCGTTGACTTCCTTACAGGATATATTCTATAGCTGCTGGAAATGGGTATCTGTAAATTCATTTATTCTTTGTATACTTGCCTTTTTTAGGACCCCAAGCGTAATTAGTGTGTGCAGTTTTATAACACTGAGGGCTAAAAACTGTTTTTGCCTAGAAGTTTGACCTTGAATATATACTTTCCCAATGTAAGAAATCTAGCAATTCTGAGTTTAGTCTGAAGCAGGATAAATACTGTTTGGTGTGAAACTGATGAATTATTGTTATTTAGGATTTTCAAACTACATTTCATTCACTTACTCAGAACCTGATACTTTGAACAGCTGTTTTGGAAGTGTATAGTCATTTTTCAGATGATTCTAGAATTCATCCCATGTTCTTTATGATTTCTATGAGGTATGATACACATTTTCAGTATTAGGCCAGGTTTGCTTTTTAATGGTTTGTTTAAAATAAAAATCACAATATGTCATACATTGTATTTTGTCAGAAATGATGCAAAATTAATACACTGATGCATGCAACTTTTCAAGTCAGGATAGGCACACTACTGCATTTCTAGTCTTCTAATAGATTGAGTCTTTGTTAACTCTGAGTTTTTCTGGAAGACACGCTAACTGAAAATTCACCTAATTTCTTACTTGAATATTAATAGTAATTTTCAAAGAGAGTAGCAAATCATCATCAGTAGTGGATACATAATTACCATCACTCTGCTTTTCAGTGAGAGGATTGTGACGTGGTTCTGTGGTGGATAAAGGACACCATGCCTACTTTAACCTTTACTCCTACAAATATTAACGCATGTGTAAAAATTCCAGTTACCTTACTGCCTCTTGTAAAATGAATGCAGTCTTTAGGAAACATACAAAGTCTTTGAGGAATTGGGTTAGATTTTACAGATTGAAGGCTCATTCCACTGCCTATTCCAAAGCTAGAGTAACAAGTCTAGATTAATTTTGGGAAAAAGAACTTTTACTGAAAATGTCAGAATGGATGAGAGAAAAGTAAATAATTTTAAGGAATATTGGAAAATAGGAAAATTCTTTTCTGGTAGATGTAAAGTCTGTAATAATCTGGATTGGGGTGGGGGGGCAGAAGGGAGGAAGGGAAGAGTTTAAATAAATTATTACAGCCATGACTAGATGTAAAACATCTTTAAGGTTCAAGTGCATATAACTGTGTCTTTTAATTTGGCCTCAATGTTACCAACTTGCTAAATAAATTGATGTATCTCCTCACTCTTCACTGCTGAAAGTAATTGAAACCAGAAATAGAACAGCATGATGAATATGACAAGGATGGAAAGAAGATGCTTGTGTATATATCTCACATTCTCTAAAGGAAGGAACCATTAGAATTGTAAATCTCTTGCATAAATGTATGTATCTGTTTGAAGATTTGTCACAAGCTCAATTCTGAATCTTATTTAAAGTAGTTTATGAGGGATTTCGTTTTTACTTTATAGTATACTGTAATACAAACCACAAGATACCACTGGTTATACAGATAAGTGAAGTTATAATGGAGATGTGCAGGCTCCTCTGCAATATACCTATATAATATATATATATTTGTATATAATGATAAATGTAA